TACACACATGTATGTATAACAAAGTATTGGATTTATTCATCTCTTTCTAGACCCAGTTTTATCATATTTTAATTATTGACGGTCCAAATAATAATAAAAATAAATATGTACTACAGACATAGTTGTTAAAATTTGAAACTCTTAAAAAAATATTATTTTTTAACCATTTATATCGTTTAATAGATTGTTTTTAAGATAAGCTCAACTTTTAACTTTACATCATTATAAGAAGATAAGCTCAACTTGCGTGATTGTTCCTAAGATAAACCTCTTCCTATCATCATTCTTTTTATTTTCCCATAAATATATAAAGTCGGTATGCAATAGTCCTTTTAAGGATCTAGTATGAGATTTTGAATTTATACGAATAATTACTCTTCAATATCATATAACATTGATAATACCTTAATAATGCATTAAATATTATTGGCTTCATGAGAGAGAAATGTTTCACTATATATTCCAGTTTTTGGTTTGGAAGAAGATGAATTTCTCTTCAATGTTTTTGACCTCTTCTCTTCTCTCTTTTTCTTCTGCACTTTTGCCTCTTGTACTACTTTCATGCATGAGTTGATTTCCACATCTCCCCCTTTACTTTCACCACTACCATTGCATCTATAACAACACTAAATCTTTCAAGTTTTTCAAGTTCAGTGTTTATGGCTTCCATGAACAACTGGTTGGCGTTTTCTTTGTCACCTCAAGAACTCCCGTCTCAATCCGTCGATCATCATGACCATCAAACCACCGACCCTCGCCTCGGTTTCAATTGCGATGAAATCGACCGTTCCGATGTGCCCAGTGGCGAGTGTTTCAATCTCACCTCGGCTCCTTCTCTTAATCTTCCTTCCCCATTTGGCATACTTGAAGCATTCAATAGAAACAATCAACCCCAAGGTCTATTTTAGTTAATACTTGATATTATAACATTCAAAACCCTGATCATTCATTTCTGTTCTTAAATATTTTAAAAAATGTTGTTTTTTTGTTGTTGTTGCAGATTGGAATATGAAGGGTTTAGGTATGAACTCAGATGGAAACTACAAGACAAGCTCAGAGATTTCGATGTTCATGGGCAGTAGTTCATGCAATAGCCAAAACCAAGAACCAAAGCTCGAGAACTTCCTCGGCAACAACTCTTTCTCCGGTCATCAACAGAACAATCTCCATGGTTGCAACACTTTGTACACCACCACCACCACCGGTGAATACTTGTTCCCCAACTGTTCTTTACAGCTCCCGTCACAAGAGACGACAACAACAAATGCAAGAACAACCAACGGCGAAGACGACAGTAACACCAATATCAATGCCGGTGATAATAGCGGTAGTAGCTCCATCGGTTTATCCATGATCAAGACTTGGTTAAGGAACCAACCGGCACAGACTCAAGCGGAGGCCAAAAACAATGGCGGTGCTTCTCAATCATTGTCTCTTTCCATGAGCACCGGTTCACAAACGGGCTCCCCTTTGCCCCTCCTTGCCACAACAAGCGCCGGCGGTGCGAGCTGTGGAGAGAGCTCTTCCTCAGATAACAACAAGCAGCAGCAAAAGACACCGACATGTATGGATATTGCCCCAAACGGTGCAAGTGAAGCGACGCCAAGGAAATCTATCGACACTTTTGGCCAAAGAACTTCCATATACCGTGGTGTAACAAGGTTTTTATTTTATAAGCATCAAAGCTTTAAAAAAATCTCTTTCTTTCCCTGTACAATACATAATACTATAAGATTTGCTTCTGGTTTTTACAGGCATAGGTGGACTGGTAGATATGAAGCTCATTTGTGGGATAACAGTTGTAGAAGAGAAGGGCAAACAAGGAAAGGAAGGCAAGGTATAGTTTTCTTGAACTAAATATACACTCAATTAAGGCACTTGAATTTCGTTTTACTGACTCTTGATTCCATTTTCTGCAATTTCATATGATCACCGTCGGCCTTCCTCGAAACACTTGCAGTATATTTGGGTAGGTGCAATACGATTAATGCTCTCATGGGTTATCTTTAGTTTGTTGAAGTTTCTTTATTAATTTTTTTAAAAAAATTGGCCTATTCATACAGGAGGGTATGACAAAGAAGAAAAGGCAGCTAGGGCTTATGATTTAGCAGCACTTAAGTACTGGGGAACCACAACAACAACAAATTTTCCTGTAAGTTTCCACTTCATTTTGTTCCCCAAACTTATTTTTTATGCGTTAATTGCACTCTTCTTTGTACAGTTCGATTCAATCCCCCTCGGGAAAGTGGATTCCTGTTAATCTGCCTCATGTTCTTACTGCTATCGACATGCAGTTTTTACCTTTTTTGTTTGTTAACACCTTCATTTTTTTCCCTTTTGAACGACAGATTAGCAATTATGAGAAAGAGTTGGAAGAAATGAAACACATGACCAGGCAAGAATATGTTGCATCCCTCAGAAGGTACTACATATATACACATATATATATATGTATGCAAATCGTTTGTTGGATCGAATTAAATTTCCAGAAATATTTGATTTATATGTTTTCTTTATGCAGGAAGAGTAGTGGATTTTCTCGAGGTGCATCCATCTATAGAGGAGTCACAAGGTAATACCAATAGTTTTTCGTATTCCTTTTCATGGTTTAACCAAACCAAGATTGTTAAAATAATTTTGAGTTGTAAACAGGCACCACCAACATGGAAGATGGCAAGCAAGGATCGGAAGAGTTGCTGGAAACAAAGACCTTTACTTGGGAACTTTCGGTGAGTCTCGTATATCGAAATTTGAAACCCGAACTTACTAAACGTTATCTCATAAAAATGATTACTTGAACTTAATGTAGGTACGCAAGAAGAGGCAGCAGAAGCCTATGACATTGCGGCCATAAAATTCCGGGGACTGAATGCTGTAACCAACTTCGATATGAGTAGATACGATGTCAAGAGCATACTTGAAAGCAGCACGTTGCCGATCGGTGGAAATGCGAAGCGATTGAAAGACGTTGAGCACGCTGAAATGGCTTTAGGTTTACAGAGGACAAATGGTGCAGATAGCATGATAAATACTACTCACTTATCTGATGGAATCAACAATTATGGCGCGGCGGCATCGCACCATGGTTGGCCTGCCATTGCATTTCAACAAGCTCAGCCTTTCAGCATGCACTACCCTTACGGGCAACGAGTTTGGTGCAAGCAAGAGCTCGATTCTGATGCCAATCACACATTCCAGGATCTTCATCAACTACAACTAGGAAGCACACACCACAACTTTTTTCAGCCTTCTGTTTTGCACAATCTAATGGCAATGGACTCATCTTCGATGGAGCATAGCTCCGGTTCGAACTCTAACTCGGTCATCTACGGAAATGGTGGTACCGGCGATGATGGTCCTAATGGTAGCTACCAAGGAGTTGGATACACAACCGGAGGTGGTTATATGATCCCCTTGGGCACAGTTGTAGCCAGTGGCAATGACAGTAACCAAAATCAAAGCAATGGTTTGGGAGCTGACAATGAAGTGAAAGCCGTTGGTTACGAAAACATGTATGCGTCGACTGATCCAAATTATCATTCGAGAAACATGTACTACATTTCGCAGCAATCACCGACGACAAGTGGCGTGACTGCCTCAGCATGCAATGACTGGGTGCCTACTGCAGTTCCCACCATTGCACAAAGGTCAAGCAACATGGTGGTTTGCCATGGAACCCCAACTTTCACATGGAACGACACATAAAAAAGGATTAAGCTTTGATTTGCTTTCCAGTTAACTAACTGATTAGGAACAGATAATAGGCCCTTTTTGGCTGACAACATTTTTGTTTTTGTTAAATCTTCTAGCACTGCAGCATGACAGTTCTAGAATTAAGGGTCCAAAAGCTGAAGTCCGGCGATAGCATTTGATTTGAAACTTGATTTCGTCAAATGCTATGATTTTGGGAACTTCAGCTAAAGATTATATACGTTGGATCCTCGGATTGTTTAATTATTGCTGCCTGGCTTTGTAATTTTGAATTAACTTACTCATCAATCTTATGATACAAAGAATGGGATTTTCCTTCACTTTTGTGTATATTTTCATTCAATAATTCATGTGTTCTAATTAACTCTTAATACGTACTATGTTCTTATATTTGAGATGAAAAGAGACTCTAAAAGAAAAAAATAGAGTACTCTTAGCTTGACCAACCGATTAAATATGATCACATAAAAATTAAATTTTAAACTATGTCACTTGTCTATGGTTATTAGAACTAAAAGTTATTTTAATGAAATATATAAATTATTAAATATTAAATTAAAATAATCAATAAATTTAGTCATCAATGTTTTGTATAGTGTATAAATTATGTGTTATTTTTGAAAAAAATATGATTAAATTGATATAATGTATTATAAAAGTTAAATTTATATAAAATTAATTAAAAATATTAAAGTTGCGACTAATTATTTTTAATTGTCCATTTCCAAAATTGACAGATATTAAATTACCCATTTTTCTTTTACAAAAAAAAAACCAATTTTATTTAAGAGTAGAACTGTAGAAGTATACTTGAGCTGGATTTAGAGCAGACCTATACATGAGATTAACACACCCATATTGTTTTAATTTTTTGAAAATATTTATTTTATTTTATTTTAAATTTAATATTTAATACTTTTATATATTATTAGTTTTATTAAAATCATTATTTTAATGCTTATATTAAAATTATAATATTATATATTTAATTTTTACATGATATAAATATATATTTATTAAAATAACAAATAAATATATTATAAATATAAAAAATAAATCAAATCGAATTCAACTCTCAATAATAAAATAAAAAATTTAATCATATTTTAAACTAGTTTATTTTTTGTTTAAGCCCATTTCAAGGCCTAACACTTTTGCCCAAAATCTCCTAAATTTCTGACTGGCCTTAAATATGTCTATTTGATGGGGACTAATTTGCACAATTTCAAAATTAAGAGTATCTAAGAAGTTTTTTAATACATAAACCCTACTTAATTTATTTATTTGCAGCCCTCCCTTCCAAGCTCACCACTATTTCTACTCCGTGTTGGTGTTTGCCGCGCGATTCTTCAAGATTTAGCGCGATCTTCCTTGAGTTTTTAGAGGTAAGAAATTACTGTTTCAATCTATTTTTTTTGTTTAAATTTTCAGTGTTAAGAGGTTCGCTTTAAACTCTGGTTTTAGTGTTTTCGATTGATCATTCTTTAATATCATCTGAGATTACTTTTATCATATTGTTTTTGCTAAGTTGCAAGACCTCCATTGACGCTTCTAAGTTTTGTTTCCTCTTTCGAGATTAATTTTGTTTCATTTTACTTGAAATTATATATGAATTAAAGTCGCAAACAACAAACTGGGAATGTGATGAAGTCGTTTCGTACGGGATATGAATCTATCTTCCCCTTTTGGGGATTATGAATATTTGGAATATTTGATGTTTCAGGCTGATCTGAAACTTATTGCCTAATGCTCCATTTTAAGGTTTTTATGGTGTAACCTGTTAATCATGATTGAACTTCGCTTTTTAGTTTTAGTTTTGATTTTGATTTCATTTTTCTTTTTAGGAAATACGTTTTTACTTAGTAATTGAGTATTTAAGGGGCTCAGTGTTCATCAGCATCAGCTCTAGATATAGTATTCAACATTTTAGCAGCTTTTGTGTAGTCCAAATTCTCGAATATTATTGAATGAATTACTTGTTTCTTCTTACAATGTAACAGGGTTTCCCTAATACGAGGAGATTCCAGGAAAAAAGTAAACAGTTCTTTAATGGCGCCTAGAGTTTCACTGAAGAGCAAAGGTAAGGGTGGAAAGGGATCTAAGGGTTCGGATGAAAAATCAAGTGCACAATGCTTTAAAGAGTGGAGCACATGGGCTATTAAAAAGGCCAAAGTGGTAACTCACTATGGCTTCATTCCTCTGGTGATCATCATTGGCATGAACTCTGAACCCAAGCCCCAACTTTATCAACTCCTTAGCCCCGTCTGAATCGCTTAACCGGCCAGGTCTTAGTTTCTCTCTATGTGACAGACTATTTGTCGAAAATACATGGTAATGACTACTAAGTTTAGGTACTTGGTGTTTTTATATGATGTCTTTGTTTTCTATAAGCTTATGGATTAATAATCATGAATGGTACATTTGACGCAAATCCTAATCATACTTTTTTATCCATAAGGTTGAGATGGAGTTCACTTTGATTCCTTCATTTGAAATACTCCATGTTTTGTTTTGCTTCCCACCTTCATGAATGTGCATCTAACTTTGATAGCCATTAAACACGTGGTTTTTCTTTTATTTTTTTAACTTGGCTTTTTCAATTTTAGGGATGAGTTTATCTTTATAAATGTATGTGCAAAGGATTTGCCCTTTTCTATATGGCATCGGCATTCACTTTTAGATTCTTCTCTATTGATACCATGCCTCCTTTGCCTTGAGATGTTGAAGTCAAGTGAGCTTGATTTGGCTATGATAGAGGGTTGGGATTAATTCCCTTCACTGCTAACTACATGGTTTTGTTGGAAATTAAATTTGATGCTGGTAATGTCTTTTAGATGGTTAGAGAACTTTAGTTTTAGATTATTACTTAGCATTGCTTCTTTTTATTTTATTTAATCTTAAGGATCATTTTGTGTTATGTTTTTAAAGTTTGAACAAATGTCAATTTGATCAAAACAAAATTTTAGGGATTAATTTGATCAAATTTATCATGTTTAAGAGTAAATTTGATGGGGGGAAATTTAGTGGATAATTTGATCAAATGTATCAAGTTCAGGAGTGATTTTATTTGAAGTTTAATTTAAAACTAATGATAAAAAATATATAGTTGAAGGTGAAAATGAGTAGATAAACAATAAACATTAGAATAAATACACTCATAATTTTAGTTCTCAAGTAGTGGTTAAGACTTGTGTTAGATTGAAGAATTTCTAATTAAGTATAAATCTCTAACATGAGATTTTAAGTATAAAAGATGTTTTATTGGGTGGTAATAGAGTGGGATAAGCGAATATTGTTAAATTTATTATTGTTTTATAACTAGTACGCTTTGCATTATTATTTATTTCCTTATACTATATTTGTGTGTGTGTTTTTTTAAATATTATCAATTTTATGAATGTTGGATATATCTATTTTTGTTTTGGTGTTTTTCCCGAAAAATCACCGGTGACCGGTATATTTATCGATCTAACACTGGTCAGATTATATTTTTCGATCTAACACCCATAGCAGTAAAGTGCGCCCCCTGCTCCGCGTTATATGCTGATTTGGCGCCACGTGGGGTAAGGCGCCCCCCTGAAGCGCGTCTTATGTTGACATGGATACACGTGGATAAAACGCGGGGTAGGTGTGTAATTACACCTAAGGCGCGGGTTAAGGGCCGCGCCTTTCTTGTGAATCTGACACGCGTCAGGAAGGCGTGCCCCCTGCGGTGCGCCTTAAGTGTAATTACACAACTACCCCGACTTCAATACCCCCAAACCTCCCTATAAATATCTCTATCCTCAATCACTTTCATCACACCAAATTCTCTCAACTTCTCTTAAGTACTCTTATAATCTCTTCTAAGGTATATTTTATTATATTTTTAATATTTTGTATTTAATTTATTTAATATTTTACTTATTTAATTTTTTTTCAGATATAAAATGACAGACGATCTACTTCGTTTGGATGCAAATCATATATCTCGACATTTTGCTAATATAGTAACATTTTAACGGTTTAATTTAATTTTAATTATTAGTAATAATTTGTTGATTTATTTAATGCATGATTATTAGATTAAGAATTAATTTTTGTAATTATTTAATTTTAGGAGAATGACCGTGTATTAGATCCTTTTATTAGGAATCTTAAGTTAGTGATACATAGTCGTGTCTTGCCGTATTTAGTAGAGGCTGGATTCAGTTACATAGGTAGATATCAGGGTCACTGTAAGATAGAGCCATACATGATTTCTGCCTTAGTAGAGCGGTGGAGGTCGGAGATCCACACATTCTATCTTCCGTGCGGAGAGTGCACAATTACACTTGAGGATGTTTCTATGCACCTGGGGCTTCCGGTGGATGGAGATGTGATATCGGGGATCGCGCATGGTTCCTGGACTGCTTTGTGTCGGGATAATCTAGGACGTGTATCGGAAAATTTTAACGGTGGTCAGATACCGTTAAATTGGTTAGATGTCAATTTTCGTGATTTGAGCGAGGACGCGTCTGAGGATGAAGTTAAAATGTATGCACGAGTATGCATACTGCATCTGATAGGAGGATTGTTAATGCCGGACAAATCGTGCAACCAAGTTCACTGCATGTGGTTGCGACACCTTGGCGACTTTCATCTGGCCAGATTACTCAGTTGGGGCTCGGTAGTTTTGGCTTTCCTGTATAGAGAGATGTGTCGAGCCACTGACTACAGGCGTAATGCTATCGACGAATGTCTCATGCTGCTGCAGTTTTGGGTATAGTATCGATTGTCCTTTTTATGTCTCGTTGTCAAGAACCCATTCGCATTTCCACTACTATTAAGGTAATTGTAAAACTGATATCATATATTAATCATTTTATACAACGTATAATAATTTTTCTCTCTCGAATAGGTGGTTTACTGATAGGAAAATCATCAAGAGCTACTTGATGATTTAGAAAAAATTAGGGTGCTAATCGATCAGCATGTTGCACACAAATATGAATTTTAATGTTTAAAAATCGATTTTAGATTATAGTTATATAATTAGATTATTATTTTGATAAAAATTATATATATTTGTTTTAGTTTGAATGTGTGTCATATTCTACTGATGATGTGAGGGCGGTGATCCCACCTGAGTTGAGGGGCTCATCAGATGTTTAGATGGTGATGATCCCCTTGATCTATTATGCGACCGTCGAGTGGCACTCCACTGATCGCGTGCTCCGGCAATTTGGTTGTTTTCAACCAATTCCGAAAGCACCTTGTAATATGGACGAGTTGCATAGCACAGATAGACGCGGCAAGACAGATATAGATTGACTGGTGAGATATCATGCGTGGGTCGTGTTGTGGGAACATTGACGTCTTCCCCGTAGAGAGCTCATTTTACTTGACCTCTTGATAGTTGCTGACGGTTATTACGAGTGGTTCAACAGTAATAGGAAACCGTTTCTGCTTTCCGATGATGCACGAGGGCAGACATTTTTGTGACGTCGACAGAGACGTTCACCGAAACAGCACCATCGTCCCCCGACTCGTGGACGGAGGGCATGTGTTTTCGGTTTATTCTCAGCTGTACCAGTAGGACCTTCACAGCAGCCACCGCAGCCATATATGATGCCGCCATCGCCTTTCTATTACTAGATGTCGTCGCCACCATTCCCTTACCCGATGTCGCCGCCGCCACCATCACTTGGTTTTATGACTCCGCCGCCGTCACCGTCATAGATGACCTTTATGGGTCTATGTTTGCAGATCTGACTTTGGGTTCATATGCTGGATATGTGACGGGTTCAACCTCATCACTCATGGTCGCAGCACAGACACCTCATGTACAGTTTTCACACTCAGCGATGTCTGGGTTTTATAAGTTTTCCCAGTTTTCGCAGGCCGGTGGGATAGTCAGTCATATACCTCCAAGGTATTTATTCTATGGAGGTGATTCATCGTCATCAGTTCTTCATGTACTTACTCAGAACGACGATGACTATGGTGATGATGATGACAGCGAGGAGTCACAACCAGTGATACGAAGAAATCCTCCTTGAGACAGACAACCATCGCCATGCGGAACACATTCGCGTCGCAGTCATCGATAGATTTTATTTTTTTATTATATTTGTATTTAGTTTATTGGACTTTTTAATTGTAATTTTTTATTATTTCTAATTTAATACTTATTTTATTTTGTTAAATTTGTTGGACTTTTTAATTGTTACAGACATTCCAAACGAAAATATATAGTCTTTACCAAAGCCGCTACTGGTAAGTGACGTGCACCCTTTAAGGTCGAATTAATTGCCTCTGACAAGTTGGTCGTCATGTGTTCATATCGATATCCACCATCATATGCGTTCGTCCACATTTCTTTATCGATGAGGCTGATGTAATCATATCCTTCCTCGTTCTTCGCCTGTAAATCTTGAAGCATTGATTCAAACATTTGAGAAAGTAGTTCGTAACCTGATCAAAAAATGTATAACTTACTAACTTGCTTTCTTTGCAAAATTAAAACGATCAAAAAGAAAATACACTACATCAGTTTCACTTACCCATGCGCACAATTAATTGACGTTCATCATTCTTCTTGTACCTTCCATGGTAGTTCGCAACAATGTGTCGGAAACAATACCTATGTTGGACAAAGGGTGGTTGCCACATTGGACCCAAATACTCCATTGCTGCTTTGATCCCAGCTCCGCGATCAGAAATGGCACAGATGTTTTCCCTCATGATAACATATGCACGTAAATTTCGGAGGAAAAAAGCCAAGAATATGTATATTCTCATTCGACAAGAGCAAAAGCAACTGGAAGAATGTTGTGATTGCCATATTTGACAATTGTCAATAATAAAACTTGCTTGTATTTTTCATACAAAAAAATCCAGTCGATCTGGACCACAGGCTTGCAGTATTTGACAACATTAACGCACTATGGGTAAGTCCAAAAAACCCAGTAGAATTGGCATCGATCGCGGAGAATTCGATCATTATGGTATGCATAGGAGGTTTCGAAGTATACAATTATCCCAGGATTCAACCTCTGCACCAGCCTAAACCAGCCTGGAAGTTCGTTATAAGATGCATCCCATTCGCCATTAAGTTTGACAATGACATTTTGTTTTGCCAACCAAGCTTTTTTATAGGAGACAGTATACCCATACTGCGATTGTATAGCTGAAATCAACACATCAACATCTATATGAGAGCTTGCTTTTACCATGGGTATGATGGCTTGACATATCACTTCAAAGTCCGAGTTGGGATGATCTTGGTTGACCCCTACAGCACAACACGTGTGAGGATCGTTGTATACTGTTAGTTCCCATATGTTGTTTTTCCTCTTCCTTTTCGATACGCGAACCATCAATTGCATCCGTTTTCTCGTCGGGCACAGTAACATATATATTTTTCGGTCGTGGATCGGTTGACTTTGGACTGAACATAATTACGGATATTGTAATTTTTTATAGCAATCACCCCTTCTTCTTTGCTTGAAAACTCCATGCCTAAAGATAACTCACCATTATTTATTGATGAGTAATATCCATAGTCACCGAGATGAGGCATATCCGCAAATTCTGGTCCGTACATTGCACCATAATAAGCTTCATACATGTGTGCATGAGGGTCAGTTTGTGCCACATTTCCTGGAACTTCATCATTATCGGAGTTGAATTGCGGTGATTTTGGGTGAATGAATAGTCCAGTCTCAGTACCATCCGCACCAGGCTCACGAAGCGGTTCTTCTGGTAGAGATGATGGTTCTTCCATGCACTCCACATTTAGGTCGAAAAACCTACTACTTGCACGTATTCCTCTTGAACTAGAAGGCATATCGACATTGAGATCGAAAAAGCTCGCAGTCGAATGCCTCCCCCTATAGCTTAAAGCCATAATGTCAAATGGAATTGCATAGATGGTTGCGTCGATGACATATACATATTAAGGTCAAACGGATTTGCAGATGAATGTCTTCCCCTTGAACTGGACGCGATGTTGCCATACGGATTGTTCGTCGACCCACCTTGGTACATATCGTAAGGAGTTACGGATGAATGTCTCCCCATTATGGCATTAAAATCGTTACACATTACTGTCGTCGGGCTGTCAACTTGTTCAACCAGCCCATAGTGGGAGCTTAATGATTGATCCCGAATGACACGCACTTGAATAAAATTTGCATAAATCTAAATATCGGCGTCTGAATAATTACTTTGAGCTTCAACCATCATTTCAACATCATCATTGTTCAAAAGTTCGAATGCTGTATAAGTTAATGACAACAATGATGTTGGAAATCTGTACTGCAACGACAACATTCTTCTACTACTTCGAACATGAATCTTCCTTGAAATCTTCGTTATCAGCTCCTCAAGAGTTATGTTTCTCTTCAATGATATTTTAACACGCTCATTTGATATGAAAACGTCAGTTTCATCTTCTCGAATTTCATCATCATAATAAACAATAGTTGAAAGTCGCGCCATTCTTTGAATTTAAAAGTGCGGTAATATTATATTTGCAAAAAAAAAAATAACTGAAACAATGCTGATTAAATAAATAATATATGAACGAAAATATAACAGAATAAATTTTTTACACATAAACGTAAATAATTTAAATAATATAATTTTATATTATTACATGTACTGAAAAACTATTTCGACGTATATTCCCGCTTTCTAATTTTACAAACACATAAATTAATTGACAACAATTAGTATAATATTTTTTCAAATAATCATAATAAACAATAAATATAATAAAAGAATTTATCACAAAATTACCTTATAACGAAAAATCGAATGAACTTCTGAATAAAATATGAGAAAATTGTCAGAATTATTGACTCGTTGAAGGAATTGTTGTATTAATTTATAAGTTGAGAGGAGAGATGTGAGGAACTTAATCGCGGAGAAGGGTATTTATAGCCGGGAAAAGTTACAATGTGTGGTACCTGCATCGCGCCTTATATAATTATATCAGTTAAAGGTATGACTAGGCCCCTGCCCCGTGCTATATATAAATCAGAATTAAAGGTAAGACGCGGCCCTTGCCCCACGCTATACCCTTACGTGGCGTAAGGCGCGCCCCAGGGGCCGCGCTTTACAGACGTGTATCCATGTCAGCATAAGGCGCGCTTTAGGGGGCGCGCCTTACCCCACGTGGCGCCAAATCAACATATAGCGCGGTGCAGGGGGCGCTTTACTGCTAAGGGTGTTAGATCGAGAAATATAGTCTGACCGGTGTTAGATCGGTAAATATACCGGTCACCGGTGATTTTTCGAGAAAAACGCCTTTTGTTCTATCTCGTCTCGTTTTTATTTGATTATTAATAGTTATTTTTAATTTTTAAAAGCAAATAAATATATATAAATTACTTTTTAAAAAATATATTTAAACACGATTAGCTATTTTTATAAGGTCTAATAAAAAATATAAAGCGTAAAAGAATTTATTTTTTTGTATAGTATATTTTTAGTATTTCAATAATTATGTATGTATAGAAGAAAAGTAGTAATGGTATACATTAAGCTGAGATAAACAAGACAAAAAATATTAAATTTTTTTGTATACTATATTTTTAATATTAAAATAATTATGTATGTATAAAAGGAAAATAGTAATGGTATACAAACAATTATCATAATCTCGAGAAAAAAAATTATTTCACCTTATATTCATTTTAAAATTAAAAAACTACTCCGGGATTAAAAATCTACGAGACAACTTGAATTTTATTATCCTAATATTACTTCAACGAGCTAATTACCTAAGATGCATAAAGAACTAGAACTGCACACTCACTTCCTTCGGAATCAATAAAGTTCTACAGTCTAGAAAATTGGCACACGGTGGTCAGAATCACACTGGTAAAGCCATTGTGAACAACACTCGGTTGTTCTAAATTCTTCACGTTGTCAATGATAAACGATAAAGATCACTGTAATTAGTTGAAGCTTCCAGCAAAATAATATTAAATAAATTACTCTAATATGCCATATCAATCTTCTACTATTAGAGTAACACCAATCTTTTGCTACTTGAATGATTATTATTAGCTGTCGAACGATCGATTTGTTAAAAGATGATAATATTAATAACCGTTTTGTTACTTTTGAATTTTATTTTTAAAATTTCAATATAATGGTTAGAGATGGACATGAGTTGAGTTTTGACCAACCACATCCGACTAAAAAAATATAACACCTCCACCTGAAATTCGACGCGAAGTTAAAATGGATTCACAAGGCCCGAAATTCAACTAGTTTTTGAGATAAAACTTGATTCCGGCCCGATTCGAAACTAATATATTTATAAGAAATTATTAATTTTATTCAATAAAATAGAGATATAATTAAAAAAATAAAATAAAAAATATATATTATTACAATTATCTCTAAATGTATAAAGTATAATTATATTATTTTTTCGGTCAGATCATATATTTTTCATCCTAAACCTAAATCCAACCCAAACTTTACTCTTCAAAAAATCCGACACGACTCAATCTGAACCTAATTATTTTTAAAAAATTCAATCGAATCAAGTCAGGACCCATCAGGTATGACTCCTGTGTCCATCCCTAATTGTGGCTAAAACTTAATCATACTTCAATGGTCATTTATGTAGTTTATCCTATTTTAAGTCCAATTAATTTGGGTCTTATGCATGATTTAGCAGAGCTGATAAGATAAGAAATGCAGAAGAATTCAATGGCAGCAGAAAAACACAAAATGAAGCATGAAACAATGCGAGTTTAATATGATCATGAGAGCATATATATATATATATATCATACAACTATTATTAATACATACATTGCAATGTTAAAAGTAGTCCAATGCAGACCACCTTCCCCATTTCCTACTTTCCCTTTCTTTTTTATACATATCAGGGCCACTATGACCCTTACCGCCAGGAATCATATGAATGTACAGTTCTTTTGAGGATTACCAGAAGATATCATCTACTGCAATCGAGGCCGATGGCCGATACTCTTCTTCTTCCATCTCCAACTCAGGCTCTTCGGAACCAAAATCAGCTGACTCTATATCGGCAAGGTTCTTCAGATCAACAACCGAAAGCTCGTGTAAATGGTTCACCACCAAATCTGCCGCCCCAAGCTCATATACTGGATGCTTGCTAGCAACAGCCACACACTTCATCCGCGCATCATGGGCAGCTTCAACCGTCTGATTAGAGTTCCCAAACACAATGCAGCGCTCGGGTATGAACTGCAGAAGCTGTGCAGCATAAACAAACATTTCGGGATCTGGTTTACCCCGATGAACATCTTCTGCTGCAACAATGACGCTGAAGAACCCTTCCATCCCGATGGCTCGGACTGCAGCCTCGAGAACTTTTCTCGGTCGGGTAGAAACCAACGCCATTGGTATCTTATAACGCGTCAAGGTATTTACAAACTCTTGGGAACCATCACGTAATCTATATATCCCACCTTGCAAAGCTTGGTAAATATTTTCCTTCCTTGCAGCCATTCTTCTTAATTGAGCCGGGTCTCTTGACCAGCACAAAACCTCGGAAATCGCTTGCTCATTCTTCATACCTTCTATTCTTCTAAGGATAAAGGCAGGGGGAGGAGATTTTCCTTCTTCCTCTGCAAGAGCCAGCCAGGCTTGCTTCTCGGGCTGGTGGCTATCTTCAATTATAACACCTTCCCATTCAAATAAAGCGCCTAACCAACCACAACCCATCCTTTCTTGTCGAAGCAACGGATTATGTAACGAAGGATTGTCGGCTCTGTTCTCCGGCGGCCATAAGGCAGGCTTTCGCTCTACACTAGTATCAAGTTGATAATTCCAATTCCTCGGTTTTCTCCCTTCATCTCTATATGCATGAACCTCTTTCGTAAGCTCCATCGCAAGACTCTTAATGGATGAATCAGTGAACCTTTCAACTCCAAATATTGGCAAAGGACAGAGAACAATCCTTTTACCGATAAATTCTTTGGAAGGAAAGCGGCAGTTAGTCGAAGATTTCTGTTTGCAGGAGACATCCCGAGCAGAAATCCTTCCACACAAAGGGTGGTGTCCGAGAAGCGAAGTTGTTGCGATCGACTCCACCATCACCATGTTTAAACAAAGCAGCAATATCTACAATCCCCCCTGATCTATATAATTTTTTAATAAGCTATTATTTACGCCAGCAAATGCGCCTGGGCTCTGCAGAATACAACCCTAAAGTGATTGAGATTTGTGAGGCAAGATTCAAACTTTGGTCAAGATGCACCCAATTTTCCCATCACCCATCCAAATATAGACCTAAAACAATTAATTAAAAAAAAGACCAACCTAATTGTAGGAAAGCTGCACAAAGAAAACCCTAAAATGATTATTTAATTACCATATAAAAAGGCAAACAATTAAAGTAACCATGTCAGATTAATAAAAAAAAACCATTCACGTAAAACAATCTTAAAAGGGGCAGATTAAACGAAACACCCAGGAAAAGCCAGAAAGAGAAGAAACAAAAGGCATCAAAACATGATGAAATTTATCCAGAAAATATCCACCAAATAACAAAAGGAATAAGAAGATGGAAATGAAGGGAAAAAGTAGAATTGAAGAACCTGGGAAGGATAGAGTTGCTGATGAAAGATGCGGAGGGTGATATGGAGCAGAGAGAGAGAATAGATTCTGGTTTCTAAGAATAATATGTGAATCCCCTTTGTTGTAGTTGCTAAAGGGAAGATTTTTATCATTATGTGTTAAAATGGGTGTGTGGTTTAGAATAAATTTACGGATGAGAATGAAGAGAAGACCAGTTTTGAGCGTAGAAGAGTGTCGACTGTATACGATTCTACGTGCAGTGGTTCAACACCCCTAACCTCCTGCCCAGCCCACTTCTTTTGAACACTTCCCTGTCCATTAATATCTTCCTTTTCATACCATAAATAAGAATTTTATAAATATTTATAAATTTGATCCATTTTGATTTAATATACTTTTATATCATAATTTTTATATTTTTAAATCGACTTAAATTTTGAAAGAGAAAATCTAAAATCGAAATAAAGCAAAAATGAAAATCTTTTATTTGATCCGAATAATTACTATAATACATCTCTCTATACATAAAATTTAAGATAAATATTGAATTCAAGATAAAAAGTTTTGATATAATTCAAAATAATTATTATAAAATATCTCTATATTAGAGTAATTATTATAATATTTATACACGCATATTAATTGATTATCTCTATCTTGTTGAAGGTGACCAAAAAACTGACCCACCCAGCAAGTACCAATTTCTAATGATAAATCAACCGCCAATATTGGAACCAATATCACTTTCAAACTGGATACAGAATAACGTGTGCGAGGTGAGTCTATAACAAAATAAAATTACAGTCATTGAACCTGGAACATGTTTTTAACGCCGAAAAAGCTCAATTATTAAATCCTCGGGTGGTGGACAGGCACATATATGGTTACGTTTGAGAATCAAAGATTAATTTCAGCTCGAATTAATTAAGACAAAACTTTGAAAATCAAGAGGACAAAAAAAAATTCACGCAAGTCGTGACAAGAAACATATTTTATTGCATAAGATATGAAAATTAATTATTATTATTATTATTATTATTAGCAAATTAATAAAACATATATTTTTTTATTATCAAGTTGAACTCGAACTTCTGCATTGTATCAAAATAACATAGTTTTAAATTCAATTGAACCCATTTTCTAATTGAATCCAACTCCAACACGACACCATCATTTAGCAATGCATTTTTTTTTTACTAAACAAGAACTCCCCAAACCCAAATTATGCAATCCCAAGTTTCCTTTCAGAGGAAATCAAGGAACGGAAAACTAATGAAGCTGTGATACAATACAATTATTTTCTTAACCCCATGATCTAAATTTATTCATTTAAAATGAAACACTGTCAAGGAAAATAAATGAAATAGCTTCTCACTAAAAACTTAACATTTTATGAATTGGAACAGCAGGCATTGAAGAAGTGAATCCTCCTGAAATACAAGGCATCTGTCTGGAAGGGGAGATTAGGGAACTACCCAATGCAGTTTCATGTCTCGTGAGAACAAAGTGAAAATAAAGCGAAAGAGTAGAATTTCATAATTTCACCTCTACTTTGCCTGAGGGTGAGAAGCAATGAACTCAACAGCATGATTGATTGCACTGATCTTGTCTGCCTCATTATCAGGTATCTCAAACCCAAATTCTTCTTCCAGGGCCATCACAACCTCCACAGTGTCCAAACTATCTAACCCAAGATCTTTTTGAAAATGTGCACTTGGGGTAACCTTCAAAATAGAAAAAAACTAAACACTATGTAACACTTGATAAAACAAGATTCCGCATGCAACCAAAAGCAATATCACTACAACTTCATTCTTTTGAAGTACTACCCGGTATCTGAGCATATCTGGACCTTGATATAAAGGATAAGTATGACCTTCCAAGAAACCTCCAACCACATTAAAAAACTGAGAAAAAATCATAATCATAGCCAACAATTGCGCACCCAAATTCAAGCAACATAGACCAAAAGAAATTACTATATTGAGCAAAGAAATGAGGAAAAAGATAAACACAAACTGGGAATATAGAAAGAGTTTTGTGAGCTTTCTCCAGGTTCTTCACAAAGGGGCACATCAAGCAGAAGACCATGAAGCACCAACACGAGTACGGGTGTTTGATGTAGACATGCTTCAACACACCAAAAAATGTAGGTATATACAAGGACACGGCATAAAAGTAAAATTTTCCTGACATGGTCAAAGACACATTTGTCTATTGATGGGGCACAGCAAAAAAGCAGAGGCTCCATCACGCCAGTTCCTTCTTCCCGACCATGTAATCAACAGGAAAGAGGGTGGGGGGATAAGATGCAACTAGAAGAAAGCATAACAGAAAATCATGATAGACAAGGAATGGTGGTGTCAGGATTTGAAGAACTGAGAACAAAAGAAGGAGTGGAGAAGAGGTTGGGGAAGTTGGTTGGAAGTTGAAAGGGGAGTCGTGTATCATTTTCCTTTTTTTTTTCTTTCAATTATTTACAAATAAGATAAAACTAAATAAAAAATAGTGACAATAAATATTGCATATATATATATATATATGTACACACACATATCTTATTTAGTAATTGAAAAGTCTTTCATTTTGATAACGATTCAGTAATCAATCATTTATACAATAAGAATTTATATTTGTGAGAAAAATTACCCTAATGAAACAAAAAAAATATTTACATTTACATTGAATACTTTTATATGAAAAAAATATAATTTTAAAATTCACGTTTCACCGTGTCTGTGTTGAATCGTAGTTGTTCAATCAAAAGATATGTTGAACCAAGCCACCAAGAATGTTATACGGATTTATTAGTTTTACAAGTCATAATAAGCCAAATGTGTGGGAAGCTGGACTACATTAAGATAAGGGTTGACATCTTCCAAAGCTACAAGTATTTTTGCAAGTAGAAGAACATTCAACAGTCAAAGTCATCTCATTTACGGTGATCCATTTTTATGTTACAAAAGCCTCTTTGTCTACACTTTCCAAGTAGAATATCATCCAACATCCAGTTATATCATTTATAGTGATCCACTTTTATGTTACAAAAGCCTCTTCCCCTTGTAGAGGTAAAATCACATTTCTTCTACAACGAGCATTTAGGTTGACCTAATGCTCTACTATTACAAAAATTCAGACTAACAATGCAGCCAAAGCTAATTTACTATTTCAATTTGATATCAAATCCACAATCAAAACCAGCGCCAGTCCATCCAAGAAAAGCTACATGATAGATCACACAAAATTTTCCGAAAATTTCTTACGTGCATGGTTTTAATTCATTTCATTTTATCAACAAATGTTGTGTCTAATTATCCACAAACAATACGATACACAAATAACCTACAACCAAAAGAGTTCGAATGAAGTAAAAAAAGAAAAGACCTTGGAAGGATCAACTTTCTGGAAGTTTTTGACGACGCAGAGGACGCGATCGGTAACCTCAGATTTGTCGAGGAAAGAGCCCATGACCTCGTCAGAGAAACCGCGCCGTATGGCGTTGAAGGTGAGAAAGCCGTTAGGGGTAGGATTTAGGTTACGGAGCAGGGATAAGGACGTTGCGTTCACCCTCAGGTGCTTAAGCAAAGCTCCTCTTACAGCCGCCATTTCGGTAGATATCCCTCTTCCCTTTCTCTTCTCTCTGCTGGAAACTCTGAATAAACCTTTTCTGTTCCGCTCTCAAAGCTCAAACTGTGAGGAATGCGAACCTTTTTGGCTTTTGTGGCCGAGGAAACGAGTAAAAGTGAGAAAAATCAGTGCCAAAATTTTTAGGGTAAACTACGTATTTAGTCACCCAACTATAATTATAATTCCGTTTTAATCACTGAACTTTCTTTTTCAAAATCAACTAACGTTGCATTTTGCTTTTATTTTGATCACCTACCGTTAAAAATCTAACATAACTGTTGATGTGATATTTTTTATTTTTCAATGATGACGCAAAATTATCTTATGATGACACGTCATCATCATCGTTAATTTTTTAACGATAGATAATAAAAAAGAAACCAAAACGCAATATTAGTGATGATTTTAAAAAAATAGTTGAGCGACCAAAATAAAACCAAAGTGATAATTATGTGACTGAATACATAGTTTACTCTAAAAGTATATTAGAGATAATTGAATTACACTCAAATGATTATTTTAGCACGAACCAAACGACTTTGGAGGTAAATGAATGGTTGTTATTCCTTAAAGGTTTGAGCACCATTAATGCCAAAAGTATGAATGCTTAATGTTAAAAAGTTGAGAGTTATCTTTGAACATATGCTACTATGTAGTTACTCCAAAATAATAAAAAATTGATTATTTTAATTTAAACTTTTAAAAATTATAAAATAATTGAATTTAATAAAATATCATTAAATTTTATCAAAATATTATAAAATAATAATTAAATTTATAATTTTTTTATAATTATTATAAGATTATATTGATTAATTTTGTAACAATTCAATTAATTTAGTGATCATTTATCATTTTCAAAAACTTAATGACCAAATTGATGATTTCAACATAATTTAGTAACCTTTAGTGTACTTGACCCATTTTTTTTATTATCAAGTACGAGATCCGAACATATCTAATTAAATCCAATTCAAATATTGGTTCAATCGAGCACGATTTAACATTTATTTTTGAATGTATACATTTTGTTAGAAGTGTTTTTCTAAATATATTTAATATGTGCATATTATAAGTAAAAATAGTTAGAAGATTGCCAAAAATATTGGTGTTTACATCAACAAAGCCTGAGTAGATTACGAGCCAAATCAAAGCATGAAACTAATTCAAATACTTGAAGTTTTCGAGTTCAAATTGAACTTGTATATTCCAACTAATGAAGCAATGACAAAGTAACGATCTTAATTTATTACTTTAAAATGAAATACTGTCAAGGCAAGTAAAAGAAATAGCACTTGTGGCCAAAATGTTACATTTTATGATTGGGAACAGCAGCGTTGAAAGAAGTGAATATAAAAAAACACCTATACCAGAGGCACTTGTCCAGGCGATGAGATAAAGGGAATTATCCAAATGCAGTTTCAACTTTCACGTCTCATGTGATGAAAACAAAGAAGAGTGGAATTTCATAATTTCCCCTCTACTTTGCCTGAGGGTGAGAAGCAATGAACTCAACAGCATGATTGATCGTGCTGATCTTGTCTGCCTCATTATCGGGTATTTCGAACCCAAATTCTTCTTCAAGGGCCATCACAACTTCCACAGTGTCCAAACTATCTAACCCGAGATCTTTTTGTAAATGAGCATTTGGAGTAACCTGCAAAAAAAAAAAAAACACTAAACAGAATGAAACAACTATGCAAGAATATTCATCAGTATCAAACAATCACACTTGAGTCTTTGTAAACAGGCCAGAAGATCTCACTATAAATTGTAATCATAATAACATAATAAATAATACTTTGTAAACATGCCGCAATATTTAGGGATATACTGGGATACAGCAGGGGAAAGGAAAAACAACTTATCCCGACAAGGTCAAGACATGATTGAGTCTTAAATTATTTTTATATAAATATATAATATTTTTTACTGTAGTATCCTGCCTTAATTCTTTACATTCCTGTGTCACCAATCCCGTGTTGAGAAATTTAGTCATACAAGTATGGTGCATCCATATCCATGCTACTTAATGCAAAAAGATATGTTGAAGTAATTCAACAAAATGCTATAATGCTTAATTAAGATAAGGGCTGGCATCTTATGATTCTACAAGTATCTTTCCAAGTAGTAGAATACCCAACAACCAGAGTCACCCCGTTTGCAGTGGTCCACTTGTATGTTAAAAAAGCTTCGTTCCAACTTTCAAGTAGATGTAAAATCAAACTTTTTTTACAAATATAACTAGCATTTTAAGTTGATCTCATGCTTATACAAGTCATCCTTGTTTGTATATCAATCACGAGCCAGACAACAATACTATTACAAAAACTTAAACTAACAATGCAGCCAAATCAAATTTACTATTTCAATTCGATCTCAAACCCACAACCAAAACCAGCTGATTGCCTGTCATTCATTCAAGCACCCCAATTTGTTATTAGCCGCAGAAAACCACATCAAATGAACCAACCAGAGACCATATATAAAGAGACGAAATCACTTGATAGACCAAACAACCAAACAGATTGCCCCGCAGTTCTCATGTGCAGGTTTGTCAATTCAGAAAGTTCATACCGATTTTCCCTCTTAAAGGCATAATAAACTTGGAGGCATTTAACAAAAGCTAAAAACGTACAATTTTCATTAGTTCACAGCTATTATATCAACGCAACAAAAATGGGAAAATTTATAGCCAAATAATTGAAAGATTGGTTTGATTTAGAAGAAATGCAACTCCTTTAGTCCTGACCTGACCAATCATAAAGTGAGCCAAGCAATCCAAAACCTAAACTCATGTTTTTTATTACATGTAGTAATTGGGTTTGGTTGTTTATGGTTGCTACAAGTGTAATGGTGTAATCTTATGTAATTATTGACTTATCAATAAACTGAGGTATTCTTTGCCTCTTTTCAAGAGCCAACTAAGAGGGAGATTTTTAAAGAGGCCTCCTGCTATAAAAAAAAAGCTATTGGTTAATAAAAAGGAAGAGCGAACGAAATAAATACCCTAACATAGTCTATTTAATTTAACTAACAAATCTCGCGTTCAATTTCCCTCCAAACCACACAATACACACACACACAAATCTAAACCCAAAAGAATTCAAGGAAAATGAACAAAAAAAGAGTGAAGCTAAAAAGAAAAGACCTTGGAAGGATCAACTTTCTGGAAGTTTTTGACGACGGAGAGTACGCGATCGGTAACCTCAGACTTGTCGAGGAATGAGCCCATGACTTCGTCGGAGAAACGGCGTATGGCGTTGAAGGTGAGATTAAAGAGCCCGTTGGGGATAGTTTTGGGGTTACGGAGTAGGAGTAGGGGCAGGGGAGTAGCGTTCACCCTCAGATGCTTTATCAGAGCTCCTCTAACCGCCGCCATTTCAATAGATAGCTCTCTTCCCTTCTCTTCTCTTCCCTCTACTGGATATCTCAATAAACCTTTTCTTTGCACCGCAGAAATGGGTAACCTTTTGAAGCTTGCAAATTGGGAAGCGAATAAATGCGAGAAATCAATGCCAAATACGTCATCGTTCTTTTCTTTATTATTAGGATAAATGATATCCATAACCACTTAACATCGGGGATTTTATTTTTACGATCTTCTAATTTTGTCAATATGAATACTTAATTACTTAAATATTATCAATCAAATAGGATTGTAAATATTATAAATATGAGTTTGATTAGATCAAAGTTCAGTCAAAGCTTTAATTGGATGTACTTGACTCAAGCTTGAACTTGATTATAATTATTAACGAGGCAGAACGAGTTACTTGATATTTGATTTGAAAAGCTCAAAGAGTAATTTAATAATACATTGATGTTTATCTTTTAAAAATAAATAATAAATAGTATTAATATTTATATATTTTTTTAAAATACAATATAAAGCTTTCATGTACTCAAGATTCATGTTTGAACTTGAATTTGAGCTTGAACCAAGCTTGAGTTTAAGCTTTAATCGAGTTAAGTCTGAGAATATTTTGAATTCAAGTTTTTTCGAGTTTAAGTCGAGCTTCCGTTTATATTTTGAATTAAGCTTGAAAATGTAAGCTAACGAGCTTTCGAACAAAATCAAACTTAACTTTAAATTTTTCAAGTCAAGTCGAGCTCAATAATATTTTAACTTAAACATATACTACTTATCCTAGATTATTCTAACTTGACTCGTGTTATTACAATTAAGCCACCTAACATTAATATTTGATAGAAAAGTTAACGAGATAATTAAAAAATATAATATATTTACAAATTTAACCTTTATTATTTATATATTTAATTAATTTAATCATAATTTTAATTTAATTTTTAATAATTTAAAATTTTAATAAGTTAATATACATGTCATGACATGTGTAAAATATTATCTAATTATTTTTTAAAAATCTTTTTTTTTGTTAAAAAATATTTTATTTTCGTTTGAAGTTTAACATATTTTAAACAGATTTACGTGAATAATCAAGAACGGAGACTAATTTTTTTTCCAAAATTTATATTTTAGATATGTAAACCTAAGCTTCGACTTGTCTCTCGATTGGCGTGGATTCGACGATATAAAATCAGCGGATGAGTTGGGTCAGCTGTGTTTGGGCTGACATTGGTTCTAGCTCCATCATCAACTTTATAATAAATTCAAAGTGTGATGGCATCGTATTCAGTATTCACAGACAAAATATTGAACTTCAAAATGCTGACGCTTTTATTCATTTCCTTGTTCCTTATCATTGCTCTCTCCGCTTTTCTCTTCAAGTTTGTCATTTCTGATGGTGAAGTAATCTGAGAAACTCTAGTTTAGTTTTATTTTTCATGTTTGGCTGCATTTTTGCTAATTCTATCAAGTTGTAACCTTTTTTTGGAATTTTCTTGTGCACTTTAGGAGATTTTACTTTACTCTCAAAAAGGCATGCAAAGCGTGAAGATATTGAAGATAAGGCAATTCCCTATTTTTCTGATAGTTTTAGCTTTTTTTAGAAGATAGTATTAGTTTTTTATACTGTTTTTTGGGATGTTCATATGTTTTCTTTTCTTAATACCGTGAACAGGTTGTTTGGATTACTGGAGCTAGCCGTGGGAT